TTAGCAGAGTAGCTGGATATAAGGTCAACACCCAAAAATCAATAGTCTTCTTGTACACAATTAACAGAATCACTGAGAGAGAAATTAGGGAAACAGTTCCTTTCACAATAGCATCCAAAAAAGTGAAGTATCTAGGAATCAACATAACAAAAGAAGCCCTAAGACCTCTACACTGAAAACTACAGCACCCTGAAAAAAGAGATCGAAGAGCATGTAAGAAAATGGAAAGATATCCCCTGCTCCTGGGTAGGAAGAATCAACATAGTGAAAATGGCCATACTACCAAAACTGCTATACAGATTCAATGCAATGCCAATTGAAATTCCAATGCTATATTTCACAGAACTAGAAAAATGATTCCAAAAATTCATTTGGAACCATAAGAGACCTAGAATAGCAAAAGCCATCCTAGGCAACAGACACATGGCAGCAGGTATAACAATTCCCAATTTGAAACTATACTTCAAAGCCACTGTGATAAAACCAGCATGGTACTGGCAAAGAAACAGACCTGAGGATCAGTGGAACAGACTGGAAGACACAAAAACCACTCCAGATGTACTCAGCTACCTCATCTTTGACAAAGGAGCTGACCATCCTCAGTGGAGGAAAGATAGCCTCTTTAATAAATGGTGTTGGAAAAACTGGATCTCAACCTGCCAAAGATTAAAACTGGACCCTTATCTTTCACCATGCACTAAACTAAAATCCAAGTTGGTTAAAGATATAAATATTAAAACAGAAACACTAAACTTGCTGGAAGATAAGTTAGGCAGAACTCTTGAAGACATTGACTTAGGAAAAGACTTTATGAACAAATCGTTAGTAGCACGGGAACTAGCAGAAAGAATCAACAACTGGGATCTCATCTTATTAAAAAGCCTCTTTCCTTTTTTGATTCCACCCAAGCTATAAACATATTGATTGGTGCCACCCATACCCAGGGTGGATCTTCCACTTTAAGTAAATCCATCATCCACACCCAGAACTGTGCTAAACCAATCAGCCAGGCATTTCTTACTCAAGTTGACACCATAATTAACTATCACATCTTACAAGCAACAGATCATGGGACTTCTCAGCCTCCATCATCATGTTAGCCAGTCCTTCATAATAAAGACCTTTCTATAGATCTATATAAATCCTACTGGTTCTATTCTAGAGAAGTCTAAGACAAGACCTTTCTTATTCTCTTAATATGAGCATTTAATGGCAACCTGCAAATCCTGTTAAATTGCGTTTTCATTTTCATTTATTTCAAAGTACTTTCTAATTTTCCTTTTGATTTCTTCTTTGATTTATGGATTTCTTAGAAGTGTGTTAGTTTCCAGATATTTAGGTATTTTTCATAAATCTTTCTATCATTGATTTTTAGTTTAAATTCACTATATAGTCAGATCATGCATTTTGCCTAACTTGAATTATTCTAAATTTATTGAGACTTGTTTTGTGGCCCAGAATAAGGTATATTTTGATAAACATGGTCTATTGTGTATGTTCTTGGAAAAAATTATATTGTGCTGTTAGGTAGTGTGTTCTACAAACATCAATTAGGTTAAATTGTTTAGCAGTGTTAGCCATATATTCTAGATCCCTGCTGCTTCTCTGCCTAGCTTGTCCTATCAATTGTCAATGGATGAGAATTAAAATCCCTGACCACAATTATGGATTTTTTTCTACTTGCCATTATATCAGCTTCTACTTCATATTTTGAAGCTCTGTTATTAGGTAAATAAATGTTTGGCCTTATTATATGGATAAATTTACCTCCTTGGCACCATGAAAATGACCTTCTTTACCTCTGATGGTAACTTTGCCTTGAAATTTACTTTATCACATATTAATGTAGCCATCCAGATTTCTTTTGATTAGTCACATATATTTTCCACCTTCTTACTTTTAACCAATTTTGAACTTTCTGAAGTTATGCTTGTAGCCAGCATATATTTGGTTCTTGCTTCTACATCCGTGCTGAGAGTTTTGACCTTTTATTTGAGTAAACTATTTTACATTTTAAATATTGATATTAAGTTTAAATCACTTTGTTATTTGTCTTTTTAATTTTCCAGCTGTACTTTGTTTCCCTTTTGACTATTGTCTATTAATTTTTACAAAATATTGGGTTTCAGTGTGATATTTTGATATAGTGTATTTATTACAATATCCATTCCCTCTATTGCTCTCCCTTACATCCTCCCTTCTTCTTGCCTAATGGTCTCCCTTCTACTTTCATGTAAGGTTTTTTAGATTGCACGTATTACAGAAAACATGTGACATTTGTCTTTCTGAGTCTGGCTTATTTTGCTTAACGTGATATTCTCCAGTTCCATCCATTTTTCTGCAAGTGACATGATTTTATTCTCTTTATGGCTATTTCCTTTTGGCTGTCTTCTTTGAGACTAATTGCATTGACTATTTCTATGATTCTGTTTTATCTAATATTTATTATATTGTAATTTACTAACTATGTCATTTTAGTGACTACTTTGGGGTTTATTGTAGACATCTTTAACTTGTCACAGTCTACCTCAAAGGGGTATGTACTGCATCATGTATACTAAAAAGCTTTGCAATACTATGTGTCTTCTTCCCTCCCAACCTCTGTGCTATTGCTGTCATAGATTTTACATTTTATATATGTTATAAACCCCATGCTGTTATTATTTTTGTTTAAACAATTCACTGTCTTTTAGAGACATTTAAATACTATTTTTGGTGCTCATTTCCTTTGTGTGCATCTGTATTTGCATCTGTTATCATTCTCCTTCCATTTCCTGTAGTGTGAGTCTGCTGGTGACGTATTCTTTGAACTTTTCTATAACTAAAATGTCTTTATTTGGCACTCATTTTTTTTTTCCTGAACACAGAGCTTCACTATTTTGTTAAGGCTTAACTTGAACTCACTATGTAGCCCAGGCTGGCCTTGAAATTGTGGCAATCTTCCTGACTCGGTCAGCCAAGTGCCGGGATTACAAGAATGCAACACCACACCTGGCTGGCATTCAATTGTGAAAGATACCTTTCTTGATTTGCTTCGTGCTACTATATCAGAATACCACAGACTGGGCAATGTGTAATAAAAAGAAATGCATTGGCTTATGGTTCTGGAGGCTGAGAAGTCCACAACTGAGCCACTAGCATCTGACAAGGGCATTGTTGCTGCAGAGTCCAAAAGCAGATGGGCAAAAAGGGAGCAAGAAATCGAACTTGAACTCACAGCTTCAAGCTCTTTTACCACTGGCATTAATCCAACTAGAAGGTGGAGCTCTTGTGATCTAAACATCTCTTAAAAGTCCCACCTCTGAGCACTGTTGCAGTAGCAATTACATTCAAAAATGGGTTTTGGAGGGTACATTGTACCCATAACATTTGTGTCTGATGTAGAATCCTAGGTGACAATTTTGCTTTTTTCTCCGGAGTTGTAAAGATTTTGCTCCACTGTCTTCTCATTTGCATTGTTTACAGTGAAAAATCTTTCCTTTTTCTCTCTGTACATAATGTGTCTTTTTTCCCCCTGGCTGCTTGTAAGATGTTCTATTTATGCCACTGCTTTTGAGCAATTTGATTATAATTTGCCTAAGTGTAGCTTTCTTTATGTTTCTTACCCTTGGTATTTGTTACATTCCTTGGATGTGTGGGCTTGTCATTTTCATCAGGTTTGGAAAACCTCTGGCCATTAGTTTTTCAGATATATTTTTCTTTTGCCTCTCCTCTCCTTTTCTCCTTTAGTGATTCCAATTACATGTATATGAGGCCACTTGAATTTTTCCTACAGTTCACTGATTCTCTGTTCATTTTAAAATTCTGTTTTCTGTGTGTGTGTGTCTGATTTTGAATATTTCTATTGCTTTGTGTTCACATTCATGAAACTCTTCTTCTGGAATATCTGATCTATTAATCCTACTCAATGTGGTTGTTACTCACATGTTACAGTTTTCATCTCAATAAGGTTGATTTGAGTCTTCCATGTCTCTGTTTAACTTTTTTAACATATAGAATACAGTTATAACTATTTTAATGTCCTTGTTTGCTTACTTTAACATCCATGTCAGTTCTGATAATGATTTCAATTACTTGACTTACCTTCTTACTGGTTAGTTTCCTTCTTTGTTGACGCTAGATAATTTTTAAATGAATAACAGACATTGTGAATTCTACCTTGTTTGGTCTTTTACATGTCTATTTCCCCATAATTGGTGGTTCTCAACCAATAAGTGATTTGTTTGCCTGGAGATATTCTTGGTTGTTACAACTGGGGAATGCTATTAGCGCCCAATCAATAGAAGCTGGGTATGATGATAAAAGTCCTGCAATGCACGAGCCTGTAATCCCAGCTACTCTGGATGCTGAAACAAGAGGATCATAAGTCCCAGGCTAGCCTGGGCAATTTAGCAAAACCTTGTCTCAAAATAAAAGTACAATTTAAAAAAAAATTTTTTTTTTTTTTTTTTTGGTATCAGGGATCGACTCAGGACCTTGCTCAAAACCCAGTAATGAAACAAAAATGAATGAAAGAGAAAAGGGGAAGGAAGAAAGACAGAAAATAAATGGGGAGAGAAGAGGAAGAAAACTAAAGGCAAAAGAAGAATTAGGAAAAACTAAGGAAAGAAAGAGAAGAAGCTAGAGGGTGGGAGTAAACTCAGGAGGAGCAGACATTTCAGTGGCGACTACGATCATGCCCAGGGAACTCCTGCCAAGAAGGAGGAAGGTGGGTACAGACCCCAGAGAAATGCTGAGCATCCAGGCGTGACAATATAGATGTGTGTATCTCTTAGAGAGGCCATCTGGTGCTTTTCTCAGAAGTTATGTGTCCCTTGGCAAAGGACCTGACGCCTAGGGCTTTTGGGAGGAGGCAGATTGGCTCACCGGCCAGGCAACAGCTGGGTACCCTTGGGTCCCCTGCCCGAGAGACAGCCGCCATCCACACCTAGCTGCCTAAGAGACAAGGAAGGTGTTTACTCAATGTCTGAATGTCCTCAGAGGACGCGGCTCTCAGTTACACAGCAAACAGCTGGCTCCTGAGAGGATGCGTCCTGCGCGCCCCGACCTGGCGGCTCCAGCGAGTTAAAAACCCGACCAAATGCTTCCTCCACCGTCATGCCCCACTCCGGGGTGGGGGGTTCTCAACTACAGCTGGGACCTGACAGGTAACTTTTGAAAAATGCTCGTTCTGATCAGTCTCCAGAACGAAGACAAGGCTTTCTGTCGCCGGGGCTTGTGCAAATTGGTTTCAGACTCTGCCACCCGCTGCAGCAGACAGCGTGTGACTTCCCAGGGCGAAGCCATTTCCTGGCGGGATATCGGGACAGACTGGCTGTGGCGCAGGGCCCTGCCAGCCGGCCCCAGGAGTAGCACGAGCTCACTCCGCCCAGGCGTGTCGCCGCCCTGAG